CTCTACAAAAGGCTGCCGAACCTTTAATGTGAAAAACCACACAGGTATGGTTTAAAATCAATCAGGACACAAAGGTGAAAGAACAGCCTCTCATCTGTCTCTAATGCAGATGGAGCGGGTTTGATCTTTTCGTTTGTAGAGGATGACGTCATCAAACACGGCGTTCTGGTCTGGTGAGCCCTCAGCGAGGGGCAGGGCAGGTTTCCGCTTACTTCCTCCTCTTCAGGAAGGCCGTAGCCTCTCTCTGCAGGCCTTTGATGTCCTCCTTACCGCTGTCGTCTGAGTCAGGAGGGACGTAGTCCGAGTCATCGCCCGCGTCCTCGCTGTCGTCATTAATGAAGCTGTCCTCGTACTCGTCCTCGTCGTCAGCGGGAGTCTTTTTGGCGACGTGGCGAGCTGTGGGGGGATTTATTGTGAGTGAGTCAGAGAATGAAGTGGCCGAGATTTAGTTTCTGTTTCTAATTTTCAGACCCTTTTATTTATCACCTGTTGTTATTTACTTCCACCTGTACGACACAAATGTGTGTGTCCATGAGCGTACCTGGTTTCTTTGTGTGTTTGTATTCCTTCCTGTGCAGGGGGTTTTTCCTGCAGAGGAAACAAAGTTCACGTCAGAATAAAGTCGAGCGATGCAGGTCAGACGATGTTTCCTGACAGCCGTCCGTCTGCAGCGTCGGCCGCGTCGAGTTAGAAATACGCGAATTACTCATCGCAGAGTCTGCAGCGAGCACGGAGACAGCGAGCCAAGTGTCAACCAAACAAACGCTGCTCTGAGGAACACTGTGTGTGTCCCTGTGTGTGTGTCCCTGTGTGTGTGTCCCTGTGTGTGTGTCCCTGTGTGTCTGTGTGTGTGTCTGTGTGTGTTGTGCGTGTGTGTCCCTGTGTGTGTGTGTGTGTGTGTGTGTGTGTGTGTGTGTGTGTGTGTGTGTGTGTGTGTCTGTGCGTGTGTGTCTGTGTGTGTGTGTCTGTGTGTGTCTGTGTGTGTGTGTGTGTGTGTGTCTGTGTGTGTGTGTGTGTGTGTGTGTCTGTGTCTGTGTGTCTGTGTGTCCCTGTGTGTGTGTGTGTGTGTGTGTGTGTGTGTGTGTGTTGTGTCTGTGTGTCTGTGTGTGTGTGTGTGTGTGTGTTTGTGTCTGTGTGTGTGTGTGTGTGTTGTGTGTGTGTGTGTTTGTGTGTGTGTCCCTGTGTGTGTGTCTGTGTCCCTGTGTGTTGTGTGTCTGTGTGTGTGTGTGTGTCCTGTGTGTTGTGTGTCCTGTGTGTGTGTGTGTGTCGTGTGTGTGTGTCTGTCTGTGTGTTCTGTGTGTGTGTGTGTGTGTGTGTGTGTGTGTCTGTGTGTGTGTCTGTGTGTGTGTGTCTGTGTGAGTGTGTGAGAGTGTGTGTGTTGTGTTGTGTGTGTCTCTGTGTGTGTGTTTGTGTGTGTGTGTGTCTGTGTCTGTGTGTGTGTCTGTGTGTGTGTGTGTCTGTGTGTGTGTGTGTGTGTGTGTGTGTCTGTGTGTGTGTGTGTGTGTGTGTCTGTGTGTGTCCCTGTGTGTGTGTGTGTGTGTCCGTGTGTCTGTGTCACTGTGTGTGTGTTGTGTGTGTGTTTGTGTGTGTGTGTGTCTGTGTCTGTGTGTGTGTCTGTGTGTGTGTGTCTGTGTGTGTCTGTCTGTGTGTGTCTGTGTGCTGTGTGTGTGTGTCTGTGTGTCTGTGTGTGTGCTGTGTGTGTCCCTGTGTGTATGTGCGTGCGTCCGTGTGTGTGTGTGTGTGTGTGTGTGTGTGTGTGTGTGTGTGTGTGTGTGTGTGTGTGTGTGTGTCCCTGTGTGTGTGTGTGTGTGTGTGTGTCTGTGTGTGTGTGCTGTGTGTGTGTGTGTGTGTGTGTATGTGTGTGTGTGTCTGTGTCTGTGTGTGTGTGTGTGTGTGTCTGTCTGTGTGTGTGTGTGTGTGTGTGTGTGTGTGTGTGTGTCGTGTGTGTGTGTGTGTGTGTGTGTGTGTGTCCCTGTGTGTGTGTGTTGTGTGTGTGTGTGTGTCCGTGTGTGTGTCTGTGTGTGAGTGTGTGTGTGTGTGTGTGTGTGTGTGTGTGTGTGTGTGTGTGTGTGTGTGTGTGTGTGTGTGTGTGTGTCTCTGTGTGTGTGTGTGTGTGTGTGTGTGTGTCTGTGTGTGTGTGTGTGTGTGTGTTCCCTGTGTGTGTGTGTGTGTGTGTGTGTGTGTGTGTGTGTGTGTGTGTGTGTGTGTTGTCAGTTTCTACAAAAACGTTCGTTTGCAGTTTTTCTAAAAAGCACTAAATGCAATAAAGTCAATAAAAAGAAGATAAAACAGAAAAAGTATCAAATCAATAGCTTTGTGTTCTCTGACAGCAACAATGTGCTGCAGGCAGTTATTAAGTAACTAAACCCTGATGTGTGATCTCTGAGGCTCCTCGTTGGTGTCTGTTTGCTCCTGAAACAGATCCAGCTGTTTGTCAGCAGCTGCAGAGCCTCGGCCGTCGGCTCAGCTCTAACCTGTAGCAGTCGCTGCCGTAGGGACACTCGGGTTTGTCCTCCTCCTCCTCCTCCTCCTCCTCCTCGTAGTCTGTGTCTCCAGGGTGACTGCAGTCCTGGAAATGAAGTGGGTTCTTCCTGGAAAACACAAGCAGGGAGGAAACGAAGGGTGTGAAGCCCACCTGTGCAGGGCGGTCACCTGCAGCTATGCAGCCTGCACCACACCGTGGGCTGGCACCAGCTGCTGGAGTCACTGCAGTGAGGACAGCTGCTCCTTGTTTCAAAGCTTTTTCTAAAAGTGAAATCTGAAGGACTAATCTGAGGCAGCGAGCAGCGTCTGTGAGATGGTGAAGGGGCGGGGCTACGAGAGGCGCTTGACTCACCTCATCGGCTCGAGTGCTCTTCAGCTCGTCTTCAGAGGGAAACGAGACATCAAAGCAAAAGCTCTCAGAATAAATTCAGCCTGTGACTCCGTGTGTTTCAGTGTCGTACCTGTAGCAGGCCGTCCCGTACGGACACGGCGTTCTGACTCGGGCTTTGGAAGGGGCGGGGCCAGACTCGGCGTCTCCATCTGACCCGGCGGGCTCGGCTCGTTTAGACGTCCCGTTGTTTTCAGACATCTTGCCCTCCTTCTCAGACTCATTTGCTTTGTCCTCCGCTTCCGCCTTCATGGTGAAGCTGTCGTTCTCGCCGCTGTCCTCAGACCTGTTTGGTTTGGCTCGACGGTGGGCGGCGGCCTCCTGAAAGCCAGAGGACATATGGGTCTCTTAGGTCAGGAGGCGGAATTTAAACCTGGAAACAGAAACTCTGCTCAACAGGTCTCACCTCAGGTTGTTCTTCATCATCACTCAGTTTTCTCCTCTTCCTCGGTCTCTCCTCCTCCTTCCTTGTGAAGTCCGCCTCCTCAGGTGAGGAGGTTGTTGCGGGCGTGGCTCGTGCGACAGCTGCTCGTTTAGTGGCAGGTGACGGCGCTGCAGGTCGGCAGATCCGAACTAAACAGACATTTTCAAACAAATAACAGGATCAGAAAGGGCGCCCCCCGCAGGCAGAGGGAACACAGGACGGGTCTTTGTTACCTGTCGGGGTGGAGGGCGGAGTCTTTGCAGCAGGTACAGCCGCCTGCATCCATGCAGGTAAAACTCTTCTCCTGGTCACAGACGGAGCGGCGCCTCGCTGATCGTCTTTCACCGATCCTGCCGAGTCTCCCTGAAAGAAACGCAACGAGACGACTTCACTGATTGGCTGCTCGCTTTCACACTGCCATCCACTGAGCCACTGACACGCCCACTGTGGGATCAAACATGTGAAGCCGCCTGCTGTGGCGCCCCCTGGTGAACGAGGGAGGAGCTGCTGTCAACCAAAGTTTCCTTTATTCTTACAGTAAGTCCTGTTCTGATGATGATTATTTCTGTCAGTGTTTGTTTGTCTCATAACTTTGTTTGTTAAAAAACAAACTGTTCTAAAGTTTCATGTTTCTGTCACATCACATTAACCCTGCACTCTGAAAGCGCCTCCTTGATTAAATATTCACACTTGCTGACGTCACTCTTAGGCCCCGCCCCCTGAGGAGTCCTTCTCCAGCAGCTTCTCGTCTCTGAAAAGTTCAGCCTACCTTGAACGGTCTCTCGGCCTCCTCGTCTTCCTGCGGAGCTGCTGACGGCGGCGGCTCCTCCTGGTTCAGTCTGGCAGCTGGACGTAGATCCACAGCTGGATCAGGAGGAACAGGAAGTGTCTCTTCTTCTTCTAACATCTGGCTGTTCCTGTGGGGAGCGACACTGATGCAGATAAATGTGAACTTCTGTGAGACCTTAACGCTGCGAGCTGGAAGCATTAACTTTGATGTCAGCTTCAAAGAGCGCGACAAAATCGGAAACCTACGCTGCGCCTAATGTTCTGACCGAGCGTTTAACCCCGCATGGCGCGGCCCGCACAGATAAAAGAGCTCCCGTTACCTGAGAGCAGCCTCCACCTTCATTACTCAGCGAGACGGTTCGAGTCTTTGTCTCGACCGACATCAGGACAGAAAGGAGCGTTTTTCAGACGTCAGAAGTACCTGGGCGTGCGCTCGTCTCCGCCCACTGACACCACCTCGTAGATGAACCGACCCGGCAGCAGAGAGAAGAAGTCTCCGTGACGAAGGACGTGCCAGGAACCTTTCTGCAGAGGTCGAGGGTCCTCGGTGGGGGTCGACTGAATGAAGCACGGGTTCAGGTGTGTCTGAAACAGCAGGAGGTTAAACCGAAACTCAAACAGCAACAACACTAACAACAACAACAACAACAACAACAATAATAATAATAATGGAATTAAAAACAAAATCTGCCAAAGCAACAGGGACCAAGGCTGAATTTAAAGCAAAGGGAGATTTCTATGATATGAAACAACCACACTTCTATATTTACTATAATGTTGAATAATAAAATGATTATGTAATAAAGCTAAAGTAATAAGAAATCTAAACCTAAACCTGTGGCCTGCCTCACATTCAGGAACAGGAGGAAGGACGAACGTACGGCTTTGAGGCGCAGCTCTCCGCTCAGGTTGTCCAGCAGCCCGTGGTGTCTGGAGACTCGCTTATCACTGATCTGAGACGGGAAACAAGGCAGCGTTTACAGACGTCTCCAGCTGCTCCTTTTACAGTATTACTCTGAATAAATCAAACAGACTCGAGCTCAGCCGTGATGACTGAAGGGAAGCAAACCAGGTCTCAGAACAACGACAGAAAAACAAGAGAGGGAAAAGCTGCAACAAAGCCACGCCCACATGAAGGATCATTTCCCACTGTGATGATGCTGAGCTGCTCTAACAGAGTCCACGAACACACACGCTGCTGTCTCTGACGGGTCAGATCAAACATGTTTAGAACTTTTTCTTCTGTGGACTTTAATTTCATTTATTTCATGTTTTTTAAGTTGTGTTTTTTTAAACAGGAACAGGTCAAATTATACAGACATGATGGGTGGCTCAAGACTTTTGCACAGTGGCCCGTTGTAGCCTTATAAAGCAGGGGTGGGGTTTAGATCTCACCCTGGGTGAACACACCTGGATCAGATGATTAGTTCATCACCAGGCCTCTGGAGAACTGGAGGCCATTTAAATGAATGGATGAAGGACACCTCTGGACCTCGAGGCTTTGCATTCCCCTCCCCTGTTTTAAAGGATACACCTGAGCAGCATCTGGCAGGAGGACGGAGGAGGGTCAAAGTTCAAGGTGCTAGCTTATGAAGCCCCGCCCTCTCTACGTCGGCAGATCAGTGATCCACCTGATCATGTCTGGTCACTTTGTTATTGATTAGTTATGAGGTTTAAAATCATGTTTTTAAGTTAAGCTAAGCTTCCCTGGATTTATCACGTGATTAAAGATCACGTGCTGCTGTAACGAGCAGAAGTCTGTAAATGATCCGCGGTCATGTTTTCAGACTGAAGAGGAGAGGAGGACTCACTCCCAGTAACGGGCCCCGGCCCAACACCGTCTCTCCGGGTGGCAGGTGGACCGGATCCCCGCCGTCCACCGGGACCAGGTCGAAGCCAGACATCGGCTCAGCGGAGCGGACGGAGGCAGCTGCACCCCGCTGGAGGAACGTGGAGGAAAACAGAGCAGCGCCACGCTTCGACAGTTCAAAAGGTTTCAGGGTAAAAGCAGCTTCTCGGACTGTGGAGGGGAACCAGACCGAGCAGCAACACCGACACAACTTCAGCTCAGCAACGCCGTTCAAAACTTCCGGGTCGGAGCGGAGCGTGCGCACTGGGTCTCTGACGTCACTCACCGAACTCCGCCCAGAATCTCCCTGATCTTTTATTAATCTCCCTTAAAAATAAACCTAACCTTGCCTGTGCTAACCACCCCGTGTATGCAGATGAAATTAATCTGTAAAAACAAAACATTTATCTCTTCTGCCGAAATGCTTTTAATATGACAGCGTTGTTGCACGTGAGTTATCGATGAAAAATACAAACAAACGTAAAAAAGTTCCACATTTTCCATATATTTGAAGAATCGGCAGATTAATGAATGGGGTGTGGTAGGGACTGCTTTAGAACTGCAGCGTGAGAAATGCTTTACAGTTTAATTTTATAATTAGAAAATTAAGAAAATCATATTTTCAACGGTTTTCAAATTTAAATTAACGGACGTTTATGCCTTGCACGCATGCGCCAAAAATCAAAATATGATGACGTAGCGTACGTTTGTAAACATCCGTTAGGACATTTAAACCGTGTGAGCTGTCTGTCAGAGACTTCGCGGAAGGTAAGACACCGGTTTTCTCTCGCGCGCCGCCGCCTTCTTATCACACACACCGGGACACGTGCACGGTAAAAGTCGGTGTTCGGTCTGAAAGCGGACGCGGCCGGTGGAGTTTTTCATGAACTGTTAGCTGTTAGCTGTTAGCAGGGGCGGAGGCGAGTCGTCGGGGTGAAGCATTAAAATCAGCTTTTGTTACCGAAAATCAGAGCGTCGCCCAAAAGAGCCACGCAGGACGGAAACAACGGGGATATTTATCACGTCAGTCTTTGAAGACAGACACGGGAAGCAGTTTGTGCTTGGGTGACGTCTCCATGCTGGGTCCGTGGGGACCCCACTGTTCGTGTTTCTCTTTCGGTTTGACGTGGGATCCCTTCACCTTCTCTGCGCGGAATCTTTCTGGTTCGTCTCACAGTCCTTTGTGTCCTGGTTTCCAAACTTTTCGCTTTTTTTCTGCTTATTTTGTGTGACGTCTTCATTATTTGGCAGCTGGATCTTCTCGCCGTTACTCTCTCGGAGGTCTTTTTCTTTCTTTTCTCGCTCATTTCAGTCATTTTGTCTCTGTTTCAGCTCACAGGCTCATCTTGAACCTTTCTGTCTTTGTGATGTCATTAAAAATAAACCTGCATTTTATTTCGCTTTTCCTGCGTCTGTGCTTTGAAACATGTTTGATGAAGAATCTCAGGCTTCACTGTGATTTGTCTTCATCCTTCACTCGTCCTCCACAGTGTGAGTTAAAAGTCTGAGTTCTTTAATCTGTGACTCATTTCTCCATCGCTGTCGGCTCTCTTTCCTCAGGCTCTTCCACTCAGTCCGACTCTATTATGCAGCATGTGTGTGGGAGGACTCCACCGGTGTTTTTTCTCTGTGAAGGAAGCCCCGCCCTGACGGCAGCTGAAGGCACAGCCCCACCTCGCAACTTTGCTGAGACGCTGCCGACAGAAATGAGCGTGAGGATCTTTGGCGAGCTGGACGCGGCGAGCCTGTGCAGCGCGGCGAGGACCTGCAGGCTGTGGCATCAGATCATCGAGCAGAGCGAGCAGCTGTGGAGGAAGCAGTGCCTGATGGTCCGAGCCATCTGCCAGAGGGAGGTCGACAGCGACCGGAGACACGGCCTCTCCTGGAAGGTTCCTAACATATTATGTCTTAGAAAACATCTCAGCTTCTTCTGAAACTTTTCCAGGTTAATGATCCGCTTCAAACGGGAACTACGCTCATTTCAGGTCCTGCTGTCATTAGTCAAAAAGGGATGAAGGTCAGAGGTTTTAAACATTTTTCCATCGATGTTTTTCTGAGGGATCTGATGCTGATGAAGGTCACGTGACCTGTGTCAGCAGGTTTGCAGGTCAGAGCTGAGATTTGATCTCCAGGTTTTCGTATCAGCCGAGTTGATTTATGCACATTAAATCCTGAATATTCCAAAAAGCATCACAAACTTGGGATGCAGGTTTCACAGAAACGTTCTATGAAGTTAGGTTTGGTCCACGGTGTCACACCTGTGGAACGTCACGCTGAAGACATGTTGTTGTTTTCTTTTCATATTCAAGCTTTAAGTCCCTCAGAATATATTGTTGGAAAAATGTCTAAGAACACTTCGCCCTTTGTTTGAGCTGAAATTTTGAATAATTTCCCCAAAGGATCCCTGGCCTGGAATAGTGACAGTCAGCTGGGAATTATTTTGCTGGGATGAAGCAGCTCTGAGAGCCATCAGCTTTCGTCTGATTGGGCTTCTGCTGGAAGGCTGCTGAGGGGCAGAACCTGTGGCTGTAGCAGATGTTCCAGCTGTTCTCACTGAAGTGTTGGATATACTCATAACATTACAACTGTTAGTTCTGCCTGTGAAACAGAGCGGAGTGAAGACTTGTCCACATGTCTCACGCTGCAGCCATTTCTTTTAATGTCATTATTAAAAACTGCTTTTAGTCCAGCTTATGAAAGCAGCGTCACCCAGAAACAGCAGAACTGCTTTGTGACCGTTTCCTGTTTCCTGTCCTCAGCTGATCCTGGTGAGGAACTACATCCGCAGCCTTGTGAAGAAAGACTGGCTGATTGGACGGTTCAGCCACGTGAGGTCGGCGGACGAGCTGATCGGCAGGAAGCTGACGCCGCTGGACGCGGAGACCTGGGGCGAGATCCTGCAGGCCGAGCTGGATCGATGACGGCGTTCCAGTTTTATCAAAGCACCTCGAGCACTTCGGATTTTTAACTCTAATATATTCCCTCTGCAGTTTGTGTTTCACAGGAAACGCAAACTTTTGTACATACTTTTAAAATTTTTATAGAAAAAAAATCACAGAGAAGCAAAGTGAATTTTTATTTTTAAATTTGAGCCTTTTTGTTTTGGGTTCGTGTAAATATGACGATGATACAATAAACCATCTTTGTCAGGTTCTGCTGACTCGGTTCTTTTTAATGACACATCACAGCTTCTCCCATCAAGCAAACACGCAGCACAGACTCACAAAGACATCAGTGTGACAGTCTGATTTCAAAGCAGCAGAGATATAAAAGCATAAAGTCACACCTGCAGCTTACAGACACGCAGGACCTCAAGTTTACTTAGATCAGCTGTTTTTATCTGTTTTTAACGTTTTTGCTCAAAGGTAACAAAGATGTTGCTGTGGCAACGAGGGGGCAGCGTTTTACCGGCAGCGGTGTGAACATATTTTCATCTCCCGGTCATTTCCTGCCTGTGACGTCATGTTGCGCGTGCACAGGTGTTGTATTTTTCTGTCTAACCTGTTTTATGTCACATTCAGTTTCACAAGCTCTTCGTTAAACTTGTTCTTTTGTTTTTAACCTTTTACAAATTTCCCGACTTTCAGATAAACTTATTTTCTTAATAACAGCCCGAGGTACTTGTACTTGTTGACCCCCCCCCCCCCCCACACACACACACACACACACACACACACATACATACATTTGCCTTGGTATTTGCAGCTGCAGTCTTTTATTTTGAAAGCAGCTGTCACCGGAAGCCGTGTGAGCGTGCAGCTTGATTCTGGTCCTTCCTCAGCATCTCTCTCACCCGTCCGCCTCCCCCTCCCTGAGCTCGGCGCCATGGACGACGTCCCCCCGATCATCAACATCTCCATCGCGCTGCGGATCCAGCCCAACGACGGCCCGGTCTTCTTCAAGGTGGACGGGACCCGGTTCGGCCAGAGCCGGACCATCAAGCTCCTCACGGGCTCCAAGTACAAGATCGAGGTGGTGCTGAAGCCTGGAAACGTCGAGGCCACGTAAGCATCTCGGTAACCTGTGTGTGCGGCACGCCAGCGCGCATGTGCGAGAAATGATAAAGAACGTCTGCAAGAGGTGATGATGAGGAGCAGGCTGCTGCTCCTCCTGCAGGCCGGAGCATCCGACACCTGCCTGAATAAATCATGCGGGGATCACGTGTCGTTCCCGGTCAGGGCGGAGGTTTGCGGTTACCGGGGACAAATAAAGGAAGTGACGTGTTCATTATGGAATAACGGGGGTAAAATGTGCTTATTGCAGGAGCAGAAATACCATCAGAGAATACTCCATTACATGTAAAAACACTGAAGTACTATCAGTTAAATAAAGGTACATATTGATATGTGGCAGTGATTTGTGGGCCCTGCAGGAGCCATCGTTGTAACTGTGAGAGTAAAGATCCGCCCACAGCGAGGGGGCGGACCTCTGCTTCCTGTCACAGCAGCAGTGAGTCCCACACTGACGTTACACTCTGCTTCAGGTGTTCAGCATCAGTTACCATGGTGACGGTAGCAGGTTAACAGGCTTCGTGGGTAAACGAGAGACATGAAAGGAAAACTCCAAACTGACACAAACAGGGAGGACACACAGGTGGAGGCCAGACAGGAAGTACACACACCTGAGTGCGCTGCACTTTTCAGGTCGCAGGGAAACAAGCTGGTCAGGACAGCCGTTATCATCAGCATAAAGAACAGCAAATCCAAATGTGCAGTTCAACATGAATCGAGCCTGAACACGGCGCTGTGTTTACGCTGAGCTGCAGGGATGCGAACTATTCCAATGTGCTTACAGTAAAATCACGTCTGCGATTCTGAGGTAACCTGACTCCTTTTCTCCTTATGCTGTGTGACTATAATTACATTTTAATTACAAATTAAATCCACCGAACCGTTTATGAAGCGTTTCGCAGCATTTACACATCTGGATGATTTTAATGACTTTTAGATGCGAGTGGCTGTTTCCTGTTTCCGTCATACTGTGGGAGTCGCTCTCACGTCACACGCTCGGCTCGCTGCTGGACATCAAACGGTCTTTAACAGTGTTTGAGACAAAATGTCAAAAATGATAAAAATGTGCAATATTTTTATTTTCGTGCATAACCCTTCGGCCTCTTCTTCCTCACAGGAACATGAACATCGGAGGCGTCGTCTTCCCACTGGAGCAGCAGTCCAGGGATGACGAGTCTGTGGTTTACCACGGCCAGTACGACACCGAGGGCGTCCCGCACACCAAGAGTGGCGACCGGCAGCCCGTCCAAGTCAGCATAGAGGTGAGATGTCTCAGAGCAGCGGCTCGCTCTGATAGCGTGGAGCTGGCCTGCAGTCAGCCAGCGCTGTGTGGGGCTGCACGCTTAGAATTAGCAGGCATGCTGTTTATGATAGCCTGAACAGCCTGCTCTATGCTAGCCACAATCTCCTTAAAACATGGTGGAGGGACAGGATGATCTGGAGAACCAGAGGGTCTCAGGTGGCCAACAACATCCTCTAAACAAGAAAGAGTGACAGCAGAGCAAGACTGAGACCGAGGGGTCAGACTCAGAGACGAGAGCCTGTGTAGTTGCAACCTTTCCAATAAAAACACATAAAAGCATTGGACAGTTTAGGAGACGCCTCCAAACACACACTTTGTGCAGCATTTCAAAGTAAATCAGTGGTGTTAAACAGCCTGAGCAGCTTATTCACCTCGTGTGTTTCTAAGCAGGAACCTGAGCAAACAGAGAGGACGTGTTCAGAAACATTTGCATCTAAATTCCTGACCTGTTTATACTTCTCGAGAGAACAAATATAATCTAAGGTGGTATTATCACCGTGTGACAGCTGCACAGGCGTAACAGATTTATTGATCTACAATCAGACGCGTTTGTGCAGTTTCCTGTCAGCAGATGGCTGCGCACGCCGTCTGGATTCATGAGTTTGGCCTCTTTAGAAACACCAAAAACATGTTTTAAAAGCCTGACGCCGAATTTGAGCTCGAGCCCTCTGCTTTGTGTCTCGGTGCAGTTTATCAAGGCGGGGACGTTTGAGACGGTGTGGCAGGCCAAATACTACAACTACTACAAGAGGGAGCACTGCCAGTTCGGCAACAAGTTCAGCAGCATCGAGTACGAGTGCAAGCCCAACGAGACGCGGACCCTGATGTGGATCAACAAGGAGGCGTTCAACTGACTCCGCCCACTGAACCCCGCGCAGAGGACGCCGGTCTTGCCGGGACCACCTTTGAACATCAGCATCGCAGTGAGAGACGGCACCTCCTGAAGGCGGGCGTTGGGTTGGCGGGGTCTGCTCTTTGTGCTCTTTCATGACCTCTGAGGGAGTAACGAGCTGTTTCGCACGCTGGTCTCTGTGAGGGCGGGGTTTCAGCAGTCAGAGGGCTAACTTAGCTTCTCAGCTGGTTTCCTGTGGAAAGTTAAAGGAACAGTCGGACAGTTTGAGATCCGAGCTCATTAGGAAGCTTCGGAGACGAAGGCTGACGCACGCTTCAGGTCTGTGTGTCCAGCTCGCGTTCGAAGCAGGAACTTTCTCCAGGCCTCAGACGCTTGTTAGTTTGGGTAGTTTGCAGCTACGGTCACAATAATCTTCTGAAGCTTTGGGTTCAGCAGACGGGCGCTGCTTTTAGATCAGGCTTCGTCACAGGTGTTCTCGCTGATACTCTACGCTTAGATAAAACACCTTGACAGGAGCAAAGTTGTTAGCCGGTGCTACATAAATGACATTCACTTCCTGTACTTGATGCACAGACTTGAAAGTCGTCTCCATCTCCTCAGACTCTGGAAGAAATCTGACTGTTCCTTTAACACTGAAACCCCCTCAGACTGAAGACCAGCGTGGGAAACACCTGAAGTGTTTTATCTTATTTATTACCTGTGTGAACGTCTGAGTGAGCAGAGGCGGCGGATGAGAGGATGGGCGTCACTTTTCTCGTGTTTTGTGTTATTTAAAGGAGAAATCTGTACACTGCAGTTTTTGGTTCGCTTACTTTCCAGCTGCAGAAATGAGTTTCACTGGTCTGAGTGTTGATCCTTCACAATAAAAGCTGGAGGGATACTTTGTGGGACTTCCATGTTCAAACTGGTGCAGCATCCGAGGGACTATTTTCAGCAGCGGAGTAATCCTTTGAGCCTTGAAACGCCTCTGTCTCCCTGCTGAAAGGAGGCGACCTCCTCTCTTCACGTCACTTCTCGTGTTTGCTGCTGATTATGTTTCTCATGTCTCTTAAATGCATGGCTGGAAACTTTTTGCCAAATATGATCTGTTTGTTTGTTCCTTTGTTAAGATGTCTCGATGCCTGAAACTTTTGTTATGTCTTGAACTGAGGAGTAAAAATTGTTACTGTGAATAAACTGCTATACAGAACCACTGGGACTCTGCTGCTTGACTGCAATAATAAAATTTATATATATATATTTATATATTAATATCCAAAGTGCATGCGCTGGACTGAAGCGATGTCAGTTGGAGGCCTGTAAAAAAGCCCTTCTAAGGCTAGAACATCTCACTATTCATCACTGATCGAAGAAAATCCATCGGACAAACTCAGCTTTATTTATATAACACATACAAAAGCAATTCAGCGTGCTTCACAAAGACAGAACAATCCCAAATATATAGAAAAGGAGAACATTAAAATCAAGAATGCAATCATTTAAAAGTTTAAGTTAAAATTTAACATAAAAGCTACAAAAAGACAAAGATTTCAGCCCTGATTTTAAAAGCTAATAGATTCCACACACTGCAGGTTTGAGGGAAGCATAAACACTAAATGCTGTCTCACCTTGTTTGGTCCGAGCTCCTGGAATATTAAGTAAGCCTGTCCCGAGGAACTAAGAGGCTTCGAAGCCTCATAGCCCTCAAGTAAGTTAGCAACGTGTTGAGGCCCAAGACCGTTTAGTGATCATAACCCATTAACAGTATTTCCAAATCAGTTCTTTTACATACAGGAAGCCAGTGCAACCATTTCAAAGCTTTTGTAATATGATTGTCATGATGGCGTGTGTGAGGGAGGCAGCAATAGGATCCAAAATGGAGGACTCCCCGGCAGGTCTCCATGAAACTCAAGACACAGCTTTACTGCTGGATTTACAGAATACATTAATTAAAGTAGGAAGATACAGCCGGAGGAATGAGAGAAACATTAAAACAACCCTGGCAAGGGGCAACGAGAATTTGAATTCATCTCTCCTGCCAGGCCCCCCTTATTGGTCTTAGGTGCCTGCCAGGCTTGTCCTGATTGGTTAGCGCTAGAGTCCGTTAAATGCATAAACTCTAACAGGTGAGATTATTTAGTGTCTAGGTTGGGGTGTCTCCCAGGAACAAGTCAAACAGGCGTGTCACGATAAAAACAAGCATGCAAAAACCAAAAGAACAAAAACACAGCAACTCATGCAAAACAAGGCCAACTCCGAAAAGCCACCCTTCCCCGGATGACATAATGCTCCATAATCCCAGCTAAAGCAGGCATCTCGATATTAAACAAAAGCGGTGCAAGAACAGAACCCTGAGGAACCCCAGGTGTAACCTTTATGCGTTCAAAATGATAGTTAATGAATGACACAAAATAACCTTGATCTGTCAAATCAAATTTAAACCAATTAAACAGTGTTCTCAATGTTCTCCAACCTATAAGGCAATATATGATGATCAGTTATAGCAGCCGATAATGTCTTATTTCATAGTCTAATCTTCACATGCTTTATCCAAAGTACACTCCCTGTTGATTCCCCCACTAATTATGTTCACAGTATCTATTATTGTACGATCTGCCTTACAATATAAAGCGCATTGAGGTGACCGTTGTTGTGATTTGGCTCCATATAAATAACACTGAATTGAACTGAATTATTTACTAACTGTGTCTTTATGAATTTGCTAGCTTAGCTTAGCTCGTAGCCGACTCGCTAGCAGCATGGCCTCTTCACCTGTCCTGCCTACACTTTCCTGCTCATTGTGTCAGATGGTTAGTTACTGCTCGCCATGTTTTAGCAGTAATGATACTTGTAATAAATGTAGCCTATTTTCAGCTCTAAAGGCCAGGATCCCTGAATTGTAGACTTGATAAGCACGTAGCTAATCAGGCCCCTGTAGCCGAAGGTAGCGTGGGCCCCGCTAGCTGTTCCCCGGCAGATCCCAAGCAGCTGGGGAAAGAGGGCGGCTGGGTCACGGTGAGGAGGAAGCATAGTCCTAAACAGAAGCCCCAGGTACACCACCAACCCGTTCATGTGTCTAACCGTTTTTCCCCACTCGGCGACACACCCGCCGGGGGTCAAACTCTGGTAATTGGTGATTCTGTTCTCAGACATGTGAAGCTAGAGACACCGGCAACCATAGTCAATTGTCTTCCAGGGGCCAGAGCAGGCGACATTGAAGGAAATTTAAAACTGCTGGCTAAGGGTAAACGTAAATTCAGTAAAATCATAATTCACGTCGGCAGTAATGACACCCGGTTACGCCAATCGGAGGTCACTAAAATCAATATTGAATCGGTGTGCAACTTTGCCAAAACAATGTGGGACTCTGTAGTTTTCTCTGGTCCCCTCCCCAATCAGACCAGGAGTGACATGTTTAGCCGCATGTTCTCCTTAAATTGCTGGCTGTCTGAGTGGTGTCCCAGAAACGATGTGGGCTTCATAGATAATTGGCAAACCTTCTGGAGGAAACCTGGTCTTGTTAGGAGAGACGGCATCCATCCCACTTTGGATGGAGCAGCTCTCATTTCTAGAAATATGGACAAATTTATTAAACCCCCCAAAATATGACTATCCAGAGTTGGGACCAGGAAGCAGAGTTGCAGTCTTACACGCCTCTCTGCAGCTTCTCTCCTCCTGCTACCCCCCCAAAAACCCATCTCCATAGAGACTGTGTCAGCTCCCAAACAGACAAAAAACAAACTAAAAACCAGCAACAAACAACTTAAACATAAACTACAAAGAAAGAACAATACAGTATCCACATCTGAACCAAAGAGTAAAACAGTGAAATGTGGATTATTAAATATTAGGTCTCTCTCCTCCAAGTCTCTGTTAGTACATGACTTAATAATTGATCAACAAATTGATTTACTCTGCCTTACAGAAACCTGGTTGCAGCAGGATGATTATGTTAGTTTAAATGAGGTGCAGGGGATTATCTTCTTCAGTACCTGAATGCTACTCCAGCAGAGGTCAATTATCTTGTTAATAATTTCACTTAACCTCGTACGACCGAATCTGTAGCTCCTGTGAAAACTAAGAATGTCTCAACATCAGAAGTACCTGACTCCGTGGTATAATTCTCAAACACGTAGCCTAAAGCAGATGACTCGTAAGCTGGAGAGGAAATGGCGTGTCACAAATTTAGAGGATCATCATTTAGCCTGGAGAAATAGTTTGTGCTATAAGAACCTTGCAAAGCCAGAACATCTTACTATTCATCACTGATTGAAGAAAATAAGAACAACCCCAGGTTTCTCTTCAGCACTGTAGCCAGGCTGACAAAAGTCAGAGCTCTGTTGAGCCAACCATCCCTTTAACGTTAACTAGTAATGACTTCATGAACTTCTTCACAATAAATCATTAGAGAAAAAATTACCAGTAATCATCCCACAGATGTAATATTATCTACAGCTACTCTTAGTACCATTGATGTTAAGTTAGACTCTTTTTCTCCAATTGATCTTTCTGAGTTAACTTCAATAATTACTTCCTCCAAACCATCAACGCTGTCTTTTAGACCCCATTCCTACAAAACTGCTCAAAGAAGTCCTGCCATTAATTAATTCTTCGATCTTAAATATGATCAACCTATCTCTAATAATCAGCTATGTACCACAGGCCTTCAAGCTGGCAGTAGTGCAGCTATGCAGATGACACCCAGCTCTATCTGTCCATGAAGCCAGATGACACACACCAATGAGTTAAACTGCAGGAATGTCTTAAAGACATAAAGACCTGGATGGCCGCTAACTTTCTGCTTCTTAATTCAGATCAAACTGAGGTTATTGTACTCGGCCCTGAAAAGCTTAGAAATATGGTATCTAACCAGATTCTTACTCTGGATGGCATTACCTTGGCCTCCAGTAACGCTGTGAGGAACCTTGGAGTCATTTTTGACAGGATATTTCCAGTTAATACAAAATGCTGCAGCAAGAGTACTGACAGGGACTAAAAAGAGAGAACAGATTTCTCCTATATTGGACACGGCCTTCGCAGTCTACGTGGGCCGAGTCCTTTAAAGGCCAAGAAGGCCAGAACTGCGAGGCTGTGAAATGGGACGGTCTACCCTTCAGATTTGTGTCACCAACTGTGTTCATGGAGTTTAATAAACTCAGCCATCTGCTCTTTGCTATTTAAAATATAACAGGACATGCTTCTGTTTATTCAGTTTTCTGTTTGACGTTTATTCAGTGTTTATTCCCTCCGCGAATCGCTACCTTATCGTGGTGGTGGGGTTTGTGTGTCCCAGGGATCCCAGGGGCTATGTTGTCCGGGATTTCTGCCCCTGGTAGGGTCTCCCATGGCAAATTGGTCCTAGGAGAGGAACAGACAAAGAGCGATTCAGAAGACCCTTATATGAAAACGAGGGAACAGTTCACCCTGGCTGGGATAGGGTTACCGGGGCCCCACCATGGAGCCAAACCCTGTTTGGGTGCCTGAGGGTGAGCGTCTGGTGGCCAGGCCTTAGTCCATGGGGCCCACCAGGCACAGCCCGAAAAGGGGACATCGACCCATCCTCCTGCAGGCCCACCACCCACAGGAGGTGCCGTAGGGGTCCGATGCATCGTGTGCCGGGCAGCAGCCAGGAATGGAGGCCCTGGAGGCTTGATCTCCAGTTACCAAGACTGGCAATTGGGACATGGAATGTCACCTCTCTGTTAGGGAAGGAACCTGAGTTAGTGTGTGAGGTTGAGAGGTACTGGCTAGATATATTCGGGCTTGCCTCAACGCATGGCGTTGGAACCAGTCTCCCAGAGAGCGGCTGGACTCTGTCTTAGTCTGGATTTGCCCCCGGTGAGAGGTGGCGGGCTGGGGTGGGTATTCTAGTATCTCCTCGCGTTGCTGCCTATACATTGGGGGTCCAGTGCCTTGGATAAGCGGAAGAAAATGCATGGATAAAAAACTATAACTTTAATCGCAGCCAAACCCTTTTGACTCAGGAACAAATAAAACATGGTATTGAAAAAAGCCAAATAATAATATATATATCATGTTTAACCTGAGTAGCGAAAGACCGCATGGGTCTGAAAACGATGTGCTGGGAATCTGCTGTTCTCGCCGGCTCTAGTGAGCCTCGACCTCCCGGTCAGATATTTGGAGCAGTCTTTGAATTGGGACAGCCTTTGTCGCCCGGCTGTGGCATAATCGACCTTCAAATGATTTGGC